TACTTACCTTGTACCACTTTCACAGTTCTTCCACGTGTGGTCTTGTCAGCTGTAACATGGCAGCCTCATGTACTCTCCCAGAAGAGCCTGTCTCTCGCAACCGATCAATGACCAATTCCAATTTACCTGGAAACACTTTCTTTGGCCTTGACACTCTTGAGACCAGGCAAATAAATGCCAGGAACAATTGTGCTTTCTCAAGTGTAATTAGGGTCGAGCAATAATCCTGGCATAGGTAGCAATACTGACATTCAGAGAACAAATTAAAAAAAACTTGAAAGGGTGATCAACATCAGAAATCACCAAAACAACAATATTCGGGTGGTGCAACTTTGACATGATCATGAACAGAGGTCACATCAGAATATATGGACATGAGGTCACCATGTTTGGCAATTGAGAGTGGTTGAGAGTGGAAAACGTATTAAAACAAGTCCAACCCTTCTGTTTCTGGCATGGTAAGGCTTTGGCAGACCAGGAAAGAACACAAGCACCTGCCAATACTTTACTCTGGTCTCAGGATCAAAATATTGGATGTGAAGCCATCCAGTCCTAAATGTTGGCACACAGTGTAAAGTTCTCCTCTATACACACAGATGTGTTCAGCAGTGTCAATCAGTCACTTAACCAGTGTGTTTTCCCTTGTGCAGCTATAAGCCAGACTAGAAGCTCTCTTCTGATTCCTCTTTATTGATGTTGGAATCGCAGATTATTATTCAAATTTCACCAAAATTAATAAATGTGGTACAATTTAATCCAAGCACAATCTGCTAAAATGAGAAAATTCCACATACAGTTTATTGCTTTTTGGCAATGAGTTACAGGGTACGTTGATATGATAGACATTGCTACAGAGACTTTAAGGAGGATCAGATATTAGGTCTTATTCTTCAAGATCCTCAGATGTTCTGTCCAAAAGTCCATATGATATCACCAAAATGGGTACTGCTTATGACATACCTCATTATTAACCCTTACAATGTCTCTCTAAGGTTTAATCTCATTATGTATATGACTACAATTACCCTTTTCACATCAAGTCCTAGACCTTGCAAATTTGGGTGATCTGGAGGTGTCACTATTCCCCAAGAACACATTTTCTCTTGATTTGCTAGTTTGTTGGGTAGAAGACCAGTCATTTTGATTTTCTTCCTGACAATCTGAGATTTGTAGATCTTTTTAAACTGGAGACCCTTTAATCTCTTGGATTTCCTTTGCAGAGGACAGCTTTCCTGCAGTAATAGGCAATTTCTTCATTTCAGTCTCCTGAATTCATGTACAATTTCTTCCTTTCAATGTCTTGAATCATTGACATTGCTGTCCCTTCTCAGAGGTGGCTTCTGTGGAGTTTTATGCACTACGTTTGTAATCTGTGTTAGTAGATGATATTTTTCTCAATCTGCCTGTAGTTCTGAAGCGGGCAAACTCTTTATTTCAACATATGATTGGTTTGGACTCTTATATCCTCAACAATTGAAACCAACATGTTCGTTTCCTCAGTTCTGCTCTTTGAGAATTGCTTCTGGCTTGATATGATCTCTGTCATAGTTGCTGAGGTCTCTTTCTGGGAAGATAATGGAGTCAAATAATTTGTTTTAATTTGCCTTTTTTCAGGTAATCTCACCATCTCACATCAGATTTGACTCTTTCGTAGCTATTTGTTCAGCAAGCTGTATTGCAATGCAAGTTATGGCTATAGATTTGTCAATTAGCTCAAGTGGAGTATGCTGTTCATGGACTATCTCATTGCTTGTTTTGCTTGCAAACCTGTCTGGCTCATGCTGACTCAGCACTCTGCTGTGTTCAGAGCTTGGAAACCCACAAGTCGTACCACACAAATAAAGTAAGATATTGTGAGTAGAGTAGGAGTACTGATACTTTGTCCCAATCCCCAACCCTAAAACCAACCAATAAAGGCAACATTGCATATAACAGCATGTTGATGAATACTTAATAGTTGAAGGTGGGAGGAAATCAGCTGTAGTCCGTGAAATACTGGATTGTTTTTGTGAATTGTGACTACAAATGAGACTTTTAAATTCACCTGTGATGGCTTCTGCTTCACAGAGATGACTATGATCAATTTGTAATGACCAATAACACAGACAAGATTGATGTAACTAGGATTTGCATCCCACACACTTAGACAATGCTTGCATTTCACGTGCACAGTGCTATAATTTCAAATATCTTCAACCTGATGCCTCATTAATGGAATTGCACCTTGAGGGGTCTCACATAACTCACAAGTAGAACCCAGAATCATAGACAGACAAAAAAATTCCAGGTGCTGTCACAGCCATTTTCCATTTCGACTGCATGTTTGAATTTATATAAGGATGGAAGACAACACAAAAGTTGTGTTTGGCAGAATCACAGACACATTCTGGTAACCAAAAGTCCCCTCTCTCCACCAAACCTACAATTTCCTTTCTCATTGCACTCCTTGTCAACCCCATTAATACTGAGCTTCTACATGTCCCTACACACCTCTTCCACTTCAGTCTTCATCTCCCAACGTTGCCCTAAATCCCGACCATACAGCTTAGTAACGTCAGACATTGTGCTACACTATTCCCCTATTGAATCCAGGGTGGTTGTGATTGTCACTATTCCCTGTCCCACAGAAACATATGTTCTTCAATGTACTATCAGCTTCCAACATTATATGTTGACTTAACCCCATTCAAAATTGGCCTCTCAGCATCCCAGCATATTGCTTCTAATCCCCACAACTGACTTTCTCAGCCTTCCCTCCACATCATGGTCCTTGATAAACCCCATAACTTTTATTGAGCAGACCCCAGGACTGACAGTGGTCCAACCTCTGATTAGCTTGGAAGGTCAGCTCCGACTGCGCAGTGCTGAATGTCTGACCGCTCACCATGCAGCTCTGTGACTGATCACCATGCAGCTCTGCGACTGATCACTGTGCAGATCTGTGAATGATCACTGTGCCGCTCTGTGACCGATCTCTGTGCCGCTCTGTGACTGATCTCTGTACAGATCTCTGATCGATCTCTGTGCAGCTCTGTGACCGATCTCTGTGCAGATCTCTGATCGATCTCTGTGCAGCTCTGTGACTGATCACTGTGCAGCTCTGTGACTGATCACTGTGCAGCTCTGTGACCGATCACTGTGCAGATCTGTGACTGATCTCTGTGCAGATCTCTGATCG